TTCTCCCAGTGAAAAAGCGCACATGGGATACGCGTTGGTTTTTTCCATATGTAACCCATGTGGGGATTATTATTTTGTCCCATGTGGGTTCCATATGGTAAATCCCACATGGGTTCCATATGGTAATTCCCACATGGGATACGCGTGTGGGTTCCATATGGTAAATCCCACATGGGTTCCATATGGTAATTCCCACATGGGATACGCGTGTGGATTCCATATGGTAAATCCCACATGGGTTCCATATGGTAATTCCCACATGGGATACGCATGGGTTTTTTCTATATGTAACCCATGTGGGGATTATTATTTTGTCCAATGTGTTTTGTTTTGTTTTTTGTAATTTTTACATTCATGTTTCCACACTTGTGTGGTTTGGATTGTTCTGCATAGCGACATATAAATGCCGTTATAAAAGAGTTAAAGCAATGTTTTACTACCGGATGCCCTTCCTGACGTTAACATACAGCAAGTTGTACTAGACTACATGTTACCAGTAGCAGGATAACTTGACCTGACGGTCAGCGTATATGGGTTATATATGGTAAATCCCACACAGGTTATAGGTTGAAAATACCACATGTTTTATAGATCTTAAATGCCACATATTCAATTAATATTTAATAGCATTTGAATTATCCACATAATTGAAATATCCACATAATTCAGAGAGGCTTAAATTTATCTGTTATTAGCTACTTAATGCTATTTAGGATCAAATATATGCGATGTTCTCCACAAATATGTGGGATTTACCATAAACTATTATAACAAAATTCAACAAAATTAAAAAACATGTTGCAAAATGAATTTATATTTAAATAATAGCTATTAATAAATACATTAAAAATAAATGTGAAAAATGTTATTTGTTCTTTTGTGATTTACAAGCCTTTTGTGGATTCAATCAATAAAGTAAATCGTCTTGGCTCAATGCTAAGGTTTTTACTATATTAAGAATATATTAAAACTACTTTCTTCAAGCATTTCCAAATATATATATATATATATATATATATATATATATATATATATATATATATATATATATATATATATATTCATATACAAATATGACTATAAATAAATTTTAATAAAAACAAATATCAATAATAACCTAAATCAACCTAAATTATATGGTTATTATAGATTAAAATAATAAGAAGAACAATCGTAATTTAAAGCCTTATTAGTTAAGAGCAGTTTTAATTAAGAGCCAAATTAAAGTCATTAATGACTTCAACTTCGACTTTATTTCACACATAATTAGTTTTTAATTTATTACTTACGATGACTGATGTATTATGGATAATTTGACAAGATCTTGTATCCGTTCGTGAGATTCTAATTTGAGAAAAAGTGCTCAATTAGGAAAAAAATCTTTTCTTTTTCGTCACAAATATTATAATATTTTGAAACCAATCAACAAACATCTAAATTTCCATAAGTAAATTTATTCTTTGATCGTTGTCCTCATATCCTACCTTATTTTTCATATCATAATTCATTGTGGTATAAATTGTATAACACATCTAAACAAAATTATTAAATTTGTGATTTTCGGATATATATATATATATATATATATATATATATATATATATATATATATATATATATATATATATATATATATATATATATATATCCGAAAATCACAAAAATTTTTTTTTTTTTTACACTGTGTTTGATTAATAAAGACTCATCAGAAATTGTTCTTTTAAGAACATTGAGCACTCTATTTTGTAGAATACATTTTAAAAATTGTTTAAACATTTTGTAGAATACATTTTAAAAATTGTTTCCTCCATCTATGGTCATCAAAAACGCTTTCATTGCGAAAATAATAGCAACTGCCTTGTTCGACTTAACTTTTTCAACAATTGGGTTGCAAATACTTGGAATGCTCTGACAAATGATGTTGTCAACGCCTCTACTATTGACATTTTCAAAAAAAAAACTAGACCAGCAACTCACATAGTTCCCACAGTGCATCATTTTCCGTGGCTGTATACTTTACTCATATTACTTTTTCTTCAATGTAGTTCAAATGTCCCTTATGAAATTTTAAATTGAGAGTTTTTAAGCCTAAAAAGTTAACAAATCCCTTCCCTTTTTTTTTTTTCTCTTTATTTTCATTAAAAAAAAAGGAAAATTATGTGAATTTTAAACTTATTTCTTTTACTATATATACTGATATTAAAACAACTATTATACCATCAGGTCAGAAGTATGGTCTTCATGATCATCCTGCTACTGGTAACATGTAACCCAGTGCAACCTGTTCCATGTTCTGCTGCCTTGCAGGATTTGCTATCTAAGCAAAGGCTGGAAGGAGTGTTCTTCCTGTCATCAGTACTATCTTATATCAGTCATGCCTATAGTAATTTTTTTTTTTTTTTTTTCTATATAGTTGGAGGTGCCTTAGTTACTGTATTAACTCACCTGTAATCTACTCCTGTATTTTGTTAGTTGCAGACTAGGGCTGTTCATGTGAACACAGGAAAAAAAATTTTTTCTCGGATTTGAATGCATAGTTGTTTATTTTGTGCCATTTGACATAGTAATTGACTGTGTAAAAAATCTTTCCAATCAGATAATGTTTAGGGGGTGCTCAATGACCATAAAGTTTTACGAAAAATGTCAAAAACGTGGAAAAAGTTCCAAAGTTCCAAAAATTTCTAGAACCTGGTTAGTTAGATTTTTTCCACTGAAATATTGTCTGATTGCGTGCTATATAGATTAATTAAAGTGCAGCAGATTAACTGTCATCAGGGCACCAGACTAAAAAATGTCTACTAGTGTTTAAAACAACTGTGTTTATATCATTTTGTTAAAATTTTTATTCATAATTTTAATACTATTATTTAACTCAATTTAGAATTTGTTCAAACATAATAAAAAGGTTTACAAGTATAAATATTATTTTTATTTGGAATTTCAGTTTGACAACAAATGTTTGTATAATATGGTATTGAGTTTTGATTTTCTCATAATTTTTCAGTTATGATTGAAATGGCAGCATCATCTCGTGTTGTTATCTCTACACGACTTCAAACCGAAATCTTTTTAATTGGACAACCAGAGTCAAATCTTCCAGATAAAGTTCTTCCCTTAACATCTGATGTTTTAAAAACATTTTTTTATCATCTTAATTCAACCAAAAAGTCAGTGCCTGAAAGTCTTAAAACAACTGTTGATGAACTGATTATTATTTGGAATAAAGTCCGTATTCCGACAGCATTTCATCCGAATGTAGTCTTAAAGTTGAAAACGTTAGTCCAGGAATTTAAATTAATAAAAAAAAAAAAATCCAGATTGTCAGATTCTCAGAAATCAAGAGAGAAATCATTTACAGACACCATTGGCCTACTTTTTGACATTGCCCACAAGGATGCTGAAACCATGATCAGAATTGAAGAAGATAAAGAATTTTTATTGGATCAGAGATGTCAGAGAAAAAAGGTGATGTTTGGAGAGGACAAAGAACTTTCAAAATTAGAAGCAAGAAATGAAGCAAGGAAACAAGCAGAGAGAGAACGAAAGCTAAAAGAAGAGCAAAGACAATCTGGTGCGAGTGCAATAGTTCCTGTTATTGAACCTTTACATGACGAAAGTTATAGTGATGACAACGATAACAATGCTGTTGATAATGACAAAATGGTTGATAGAGATTTTGAGATAGAAATCCCTGTTTATTACAGACAACAAGTCAGTAAAGCAAGTTCTTCAGGGTCAGCTGAATCAAGTTTAGCAAGTACTCCAAAACGACAATGTATCTTAGATACAAATCTTGACTCGCCTGATGTTTCATCAACATTAGACAGAATTAATCTATCTGACACAAAATTTACTATACTAGCAGCAGCAATTGCAAGGGCTGGTGGACAGAACCTCGATGATGGATCATTGTCATGTTCTACAGTCCGTAGAAAACGAACCTATCATCGATCAAACATTGAAGCCACTGTTCGAACTGAATTCTGCGATTTGAACAAACCACCATTAATCGTCCACTGGGATGGCAAACTGATGATAGATCGTACAAATTCTGCAGACCCTAAAGCAAATGTTGACCGGCTATCTGTAGGTGTGACAGGTCACAATGTTGACAAAATACTTGGAATAGCAAAACTATCAGCTGGAACTGGAGAAGCCCAAGCAAAAGCAGTTATTCATCTGCTTAATTTCTGGGACATAATTGGTGATGTTATTGGAATGAGTTTTGATACTACAGCCTCTAACACTGGCTCCGAAAATGGTGCATGTGTAGTTCTAGAGAAACATATAGGTAGAAATTTGTTATATTTTGCTTGCAGACACCATGTTCATGAGATCATAGTAGCAGGAGTGTTTGGATCACTATTTGGACCATCATCTGGTCCCAACATACCTCTTTTCCGGAGATTTCAGCAATATTGGCCCAAAGTTAATCAAGGAAATTTTAAACCTCTGGATGACATTCGAATGAAAATACCCCTGGTGCAAGAACTACAAAATGAAGTGATGGCATTCCTCAAAGAAAACCTGCATGTTAAAATGCCAAGGGATGACTACAAAGAAATCATGGATCTCTGTCTGTTAATACTTGGAAAACTCCCTGATCAAGAAGAGAAAAATTATCATTTCAAGATCCCTGGTGCTTATCACATGGCTCGCTGGATGGCCAAGGTTATTTATTGTTTTAAGATTTATTTATTTCGTGAAGAGTTCAAGTTGACCACAAAAGAGGAAAAAAATCTCTGTGAATTTTGCTTATTTGCTAGTCTGGTTTATGTAAAATCTTGGATATCATGCCCAAATGCCAGCGATGCTCCAGTTAATGACTTGTTTCTGTTTCAGCAACTTAAGCAGTTTGCAGTTGTGAATAAAACGATTTCCGAAGCAGCAGTCAAGAAATTTCAAAACCATTTGTGGTACCTTTCACCAGAATTGGTCCCACTAGCTTTGTTTTCAAACAAACTTAAAACGGAGAAGAGAAGCGAAAAATGATTTCCAACATGAAATTTCACGGTGAGAACTGGTCTGAAAGGTTGATCAAATTAAAGAACATTGAAAGTCTAGAGAAGAAATCTCTGGACATGCTGGTGACATCAGTTTCAGCAAGTGCGTTGCGGTCAATGAAGGTTGATATTGATTTTCTGTTCAACAACGATCCAGCTACCTGGAATGATTCCCCAGAATACCAAGAAGGAAAAAATTTAGTATATTCATTGAAAGTAGTAAATGATGCTGCCGAACGATCTGTGGCTTTAATGTCGATGTTTAATGAATCGATTACAAGGAATGAATCTGAAATGCAGAGGTTAATTCAGGTGGTTGAGGATCACAGAAAGCGAGTGCCAGATGCCAGAAAGTGTACTCTGAAGAGTTATAGTCCTTGCTAGCATTAACATTGCACGAACTATAACATTACGATAATTAAATGTTAATTGCTCATATGTTTTTGAGTTGACCTACTTAGTAGTTGATAACGGTTTGAGAAACTGTTACTCCTTTACAATAATTTTTTTTGTTTATAATTCGTATTTTAATCAATGACAAAAAGTCAAAAATCTTAGTGTTTTATTTTGGAAAAATTCTGATATAACAAAAACCGCAGAACTTTAGTCGTATTGCAGTATTTTATTTCATTAATTTCTCTGCTAATAAACCAGTATAAAGTGGATGTGGATTGTAATTTGCATTCAGAATTTAATATTTAGAGATAATTAAAACTGATCAAATCTGAAAAATCTAATTAACCGGGTTTTAGAAATTTGTGGAACTTTGTTACTTTTTCCATGTTTTTCACATTTTTCGTAAAACTTTATGGTCATTGAGCACCCCCTGAACATTATCTGATCGGAAAGATTTTTTGCACAGTTAATTAATATGTCAAATGGCACAAAATAAACAACTATGCAATCAAATCTGAAAAAAAAAATTTTTTTGGACAGCCCTAATGCAGACTCCTGTATTTTGTTAGATGCAGTGTTTTTCCTAATGCACTTCCAAAATGTCATGCCTGGTTTTCTCAAAGTACTGTTGCAGGAAGTAACTCCTTTTAACTACTCCATGTCAGGTCAGGATAATCGAGATCAATCTTGCTACTGGTATCACGTAACCCAGTACCACCTGCCACAAGCCCTGCTGCCTTGCAGAGTGTGCTCTTCTTATGCAAAGGCTAGGAGAAATAAACTCCGACCAAAACTTCCCCTGCCTTGGGGCTCTTGGTTGAGTAAAGGCTAGAGATGGTGTCTCGATAAAAACACTCATCTTGGACAGATGTTAACTGCATCCAGCTAAACATCCCCTGCTATGAGGCTCTTGGTTGAGTAAAGGCTACAGATAGTGTCTCGATAAAAATACTCAGATGTTAACTGCATCCTGCTACTGTCTTGTAGAAAGCCTCCTAGGCAAAGACTTTAGGGATAAGCAGAAATAATCTGCTAACCAGCCTCGAACCCCTTCTTCATCTATTAGGCTGGCGTAGATGTAACCTGTGTTACATTGTTTCCTGCCTAGGATGATGAATGCTGGATCTCCTTGACTCTACTCATAGAATTTTGCTTATGCCTCCTTGATAATGACTATGCAACTCTTCCTGTTATCTCCATATGAGGCTACAGCTCTAAAACTCAGTTTAATGGTTCTGAGGCCGGCTGGTAGTAAGGTTTCCCGAACTCTGTGGTAGCTCTCAGAGAGGCTGATTCCATCAACAGCTGCAAAATATCAGAGTATTAACAGTGCCACGTTGCGCATGGATGGTGTCCCTGTTAATGCTTTTGGTGTGTTTATCAAGGCAACATAAGGAGCCCTATGTCACGGCTTAAGGTTATTTAACAGGACTGAGACAACTGCATAGCTCATTGATTAAGAGGCTGTGCTCTATCTATGAATGAGTCTAGTTCTCATTAAACCCAAATCATGACCAAAGTAACCAAAAATTTAAAACCTAAAAAACCATCCCCACCACCTAAATATTTTAATATATCTTTTACAAATATTTGCGGTCTACGAAGCAACTTTCCATCAGTTGAGTCTTACCTCCTGCAAAATTCACCAGACTTGCTTGCACTCAGTGAAATAAATTTAAATTCTGCAATTCCTTCTTCAGATGTCAGTGTTGATGGGTACTATCCTTTGATTCATAAAGACTCCAATAGTCACATGCTAGGTTTAGGGGTATACATACGCATTAATTCCCCTATTTGTCGTGAAATCAGGTTCGAATCCTTTGACCATTCTTTTATGTGCTTTCGCCTAGCACCTCTTCACTCTATCACCTTTCTCTTTGTTCTTTATCGTTCTCCTTCTTCCCATGATTGCACTCTTTTAGATGTTATCTCTGATCAAATTGACCATGCCCTCTCTCTTTACCCCTCTGCCAATATTGTTGTTGTTGGTGATTTTAATGCCCATCACACTGAATGGCTTGGCTCTAACACCACTAATCCTGCTGGCACTAAAGCCTTTAACTTCTGCGTTTCTCAATCTCTTACTCAGATAGTTAACTTTGTGACTCGTTTTCCTGACAACCCTAATCATTTACCTTCACTCCTTGACTTATGTCTTGTCTCTGACCCTAGCTTATGTTCAGTTTCTCCCTTTTCTGCCTTAGGTGGTTCTGACCATGCAATGATCTCTATAAATCTTTCTTCTCGTACTTCTTTTTTGGGCTCACCTTATCATCTCACCACCTACTACTACCCTAAAGCTGACTGGGATTCCTTTCGTGATTTTCTTTGTGATGGTCCTTGGGCTGATGTTTTTTCTCTCTCAGCTGACAAATGCGCCTCCTACGTAACCTCCTGGATTCAGGCTGGAATGGAAGCTTTTATTCCTTCGCGTCGGTTTCAAGTCAAGCCTCATTTTACTCCATGGTTTTCTCCTTCTTGTGCGGCTGCTATATCCAATCGTAATCATTTTTTTCATCTTTTTCAAAAGAACAACTCTCTTGAGAACAAACGGCTATTTAATATTGCAAGAAATCGATGTAAAAAGGTGCTTTCTGATGCTAAATTCCATTATTCTCAGTTCACTCAATCTCGCATCTTATCGCAGAAGTTAGGCTCTAAAGACTTTTGGAAAATCTTCAACAGCATTGTTAACAAGGGTAGATCTAACATTCCATCTCTCATTCATGGAACTGATCTTATTACCTCTCCCACGGATAAGGCAGAACTATTTGCAAAGAACTTTTCTTCTAATTCCACTCTTGAATCTTATGAACATTCTCTTCCTTCCATTCCAGTCAAACAGGTTGACCCATTGTTAGACATTCAAATCACTCCGGCTTCTGTTGCTAAAGTCATATCTCAATTAAACTCGTCTACAGCTTGTGGTCCAGACAACATTTCTGTCACAGTCTTGCAGAATTGTTCTCCAGAACTTTCTTCAATTCTCTCTAAACTATTTAACAAGTGTTTGACTGAGTCTTGTTTTCCTGCCTGTTGGAAAATGGCATCTGTGGTTCCAATATTCAAAAACTCTGGAGAAAATTCTGACCCCTCCAATTATCGTCCGATCAGTCTTCTTTCTGTTATTAGCAAGGTCTTTGAGTCTTTGATCAACAAATTCCTCACATCTCATCTTGAGTCAAATAAACTGCTGTCAGACAATCAATACGGTTTTCAATCCTCTCGCTCTACGGCGGACTTGCTAACTGCTGTAACTAAAAGATTTTATCGTGCATTAGATGGAGGCGGTGAGGCTAGGGCTATTGCTCTCGACATATCTAAAGCTTTCGACAAAGTTTGGCATGCTGGTCTTCTCCATAAGCTTGCTTCATATGGTGTTTCTGGGAAAGTTTTTGAGATTATCAAATCATTTCTTTCGGTTTATTAAAGTCATCCTTGAAGGCCAACATTCTTCTTTATTTCCAGTAACTTCTGGGGTTCCCTAAGGTTCCATCCTGGGCCCTGTTTTGTTACTTATCTACATAAACGATCTTCCTGACAACCTTTCATCTTAAGTAGCTCTTTTTGCTGATGACTCAACTTTATACTCCTGTCTTGACAAAAAGTCTTCTCTTTTCGATCGCCTAGAACAAGCAGCTGATCTTGAATCTGATCTCGCTTCAATAATAGATTGGGGTTCACAGTGGCTTGTGGATTTCAACTCTAAAAAAACCCAATTGCTTACTGCAAACAACTACCGTAATATGGTCATCATTCCTATATTAATGAATGGCAATCCTCTTACTGAGTCCTCCTCTTTACGTCTTCTTGGATTATTGCTTACTACTGACCTTTTATGGAAACCATATATACAATCGATTGCTAAATTAGCTTCTGCTAAGGTTGCTTCTCTTTATCGTGCTCGCCATTTCCTTACTTCTGATTCCATTCTCTACCACTACAAATCTCTTATTCGTCCTTGTATGGAATACTGTTGTCATATTTGGGCTGGTTCTTCTAACGATTCACTTTCTCTTCTTGACAAGGTCCAAAAGCACATTGTAAATGTTGTTGGACCTGGACTATCTGCTAAGCTTGAACCTCTTTCCCATCGTCGTAAAGTTGCATCTCTTTCTCTTTTCTACAGATACTATCATGGTCACTGCTCAAAGGAGTTATCATCTCTAGTTCCATCAACTAAAATTCATTCTCGTTTTACTTGTCATTCAGCTAAGTCTCATTTGTTTACTGTATCTGTCCCTGCATGCTCTAAAAACTTTTATTCATCTAGTTTTTTTCCCCGCACTTCAATCCTTTGGAACTCTCTCCCATCTTCATGTTTTCCTGACTCATACAACCTTCAATTTTTCAAGTCTTCTGTCAACCGTTTCCTTGCTCTATAACTCTGTTCTTTTTTTTTTCCTAGTAACTCCCAACTTAATAGTGGTTGCTTGCAGCCTTGTTGGGAGTGAATGCAAATAAAAAAAAAAAAAATAATAATAATACTTTTATTTGCACAAAAACTTAATTCGATAAAGAGAGATACAAATTATTTGTAGTACTTACATACTTGCTTTCCATTTTTTAAGATTAATTTAAGGTATTTTTATGCTAAAAAGATGCATGTAACTTCATCGCAAAAGTTATTTAATGTTGTTTTTAACATTTAAGATTATTTTAGTTTCCAGCCTTCAAATAAAATCCCATGTAAATCCCATAAGAAACCCACGTGGGATTTCCCATGTGGGTAAATACCATATGGTTCCCGCATGTAACCCATGTAGGATTACCCATATTGGTTTGAAGTGGCAAAATTCCATACGGATACCACATAGGAAAATCCAATGTGGGTAAATACCACATGTAACCCATGTGGGATTTACCCATATGGGTTTTAAGCAGCAAACTTCCATACGAATACCACATGGGAAAATCCGTCCTATATAAATCCCATGAATCCCACACGGAACCCAAATGGAACCCATGTGGGACGCGGTTTTATTTTTCACTGGGCTGTTGCTAACGTTTATTGTTAGACATTTAAATCGCCCGTTGTTAAAGATATTTCTTACTTAAACTTTTCTACACCAAGTGATCAAGTGATCTGAATATTGTTAATATTTATGAGTGCACACTTTCCCATCAAACAAATGCAAAACAAAAATCTACTAAACAATTAAAAAAATCAATTTTTGTCTGTCTAATTAACTCAGCATTAATTTTAGTTAATATGTTTCTTAATTTTAGTTAATATGTTTCTTAATTTTAGTTAATATGTTTCTTAAATTGTAAAATTTAGTTGTGATTTTTTATTGTTGCTTTGTAGCTGGTTATACTTTTTTTTATTGTAAAATTTTTTTTTATTTTACTTGAAATTCTATGTTTCTATATCATTCATGATTTTTTCTTTACCATGTTATAATACTTTTCTAGTTCTACATGTAGGTGAGGAAACATTGAATTAAACAAATTTGATAATGAATTATACATTAAGTACATACTTCATATATTATGAAATTGATGGTTTAAAGCACAAAAGACACATGACACATGTCAACCTTTTTAGACAATCTTACTTTTTGATATTTTGGCCATAAATATTATTAAAATAAAATAATTAATGACATTAAAAATAAGCAAAGATAGCAAATTTACTGATCTTTTAAAATAATTTATAATTAGTTAATTAATTGAGGATCTCAAACCTTAAAAACCTGTTTTTTTGAAACTGTCAAATATGAACAAGTTTCTTTTTTTGATTTAAACCATACAAATATTTTTCAGTTTATGAAAACTATTTACAAATGATTTTTTTTTTTTTTTTGATAAACCAACATCTGCGATGCTACCCTATTGTAACATTTCGTTCTATGACGTCAAAGTTTTATACAGTTTGTATAAACAACAAGTAACGATGCAATTTGTAGTAAGGGCACTGGTAAATCTTTGATCAGCACAATATTTTAATATTATTTGCTATGGTGGCAGGAAATCAATAATAATAAAATTGAAATCGATTCAGGATTGAATACCAAAAAATTGTTGTGCAATCTTTATTAGCAAGTGTTTTTAAAATTTTAAAATTTAGACGCAAATTTAAAAAATTTTTAAATTTAGACACCGTTTAGCTAATTTAAATTGAAAACTCTTATTTCTACATATTTTATTGCTACATATTTTATTTCTAGAATAACCCTGAAGTTGAGTCTTTGTCAAAATATCTTCTAACAGAACATTATTTTTGCTATTGGTGTTCAACTTTTTATTATAGTAAGTTATAACAGAACATTTTTTTTTCTATTGGTGCTCAACTTTTTATTATAGTAAGTTGTTTGAAACTTTATTTGAAATTTACGGTATTTTTTTTTTTATAATAAAGTTTATTTCATTTATCACTTTATCAAATCTGGCAGCAATGGTGTTAACATTTGTGTTTATTTTGGAAACATCATGAAAAATATTTCAAAAATTTTATTTAGTTCTCTAATTATTTATAATCGTTTCCTTTTTTGAAAACTAAAAGATTTAAAACTTGGAATGGAAAAAAATATGTTTTTCTTTTCTTAGCTTACAATTTACAAGTGATTTCCACCGAATTACAAAATATTTAAAAATACTCAATAAAATGTACACTTTAGAAAAGATGATAATTACGAAACAGGAGAACCTAACGAAGAAAAATCTTATTATAAACAATCATCAGTTAACTTACGGGATTTTTAAAAAAAAATTATTTGTTTTTGAAAAAATCAAGTAATGAATCTTGATTCACAATAAGTTCAACTATGTTGGATTTGAATTTTTTGTAACTATGTTGGATTTGAAATTTTAAGTTTAAGATTCGGGCTTATAAAATGGCTACAAAAATTGGATCACCATAAAAAATGTGAAATTTTTTTTGTTTTGATTTACGGAAAAAAAATTTAAATTTTTATGTAGATCAATTAATTATATCTTTTTTTAAAACTATAACATTTTCATAACTATTTAAACATGTTGTGACAAAATGGTTTAAAAACATTTTTTTGATTAATTTCAAGAGGTCTTTAGAAAAGATTTAACATAGCAAGACGATTTTGAAAATAAATATTCTTGTTCTGCATGTTTCTTTTGTTTGTAGAAACATTAGAGTTTTGATTTGTTTCTACTGCACCAAGCAATATTACCATAAGTGTTAATAAAAGATAAATAGCTGAGTTAATGTGACGTTACAAAAGCTTTGTCGGGTTTTATCTCAAATTCGCCGTTTTTTATCTCAGATATGTCGTGTTTTATCTCTGATTATTTTTTTTTTTTAATTTAAAATTCATCAGGTTTTATATAGTAGATGCCAATATTTCTTGAAGTTTTTTAATATTTTGAATATCAAGATATTCAAGGATAAGTTTTCATCTATTAAACAACTTGTAATATAATTATGAAAGCTGGTTATTTTTGATATTGCTTATAAATAACGTTGTTTCAAATAGAATAAGAAAAACTTTAGAAACTTTATTAATTTTATCAGTGTTAAAAGACTTTTTTGAGACTGTTGGTATTAAGCCAGTTTAATATTTGTTGCAGTTTTTGTTTGCTATCCGAAATAGAGTGCTGGTTCACTGTGTGCATAAAATAAAATGGCGTTGTCGTCAGACATGAAAGTAGATATGGTGATGATGATTACTACATGATTTTATGAATTATTAAATTATATTAAAAATTAGGACCCAAGATTAAGTCTTGTGGAAACCCATATAATATTAAAAGTTAATATTGTCTGAAGATCGTCATTGAGAAATATAAGCTATTTTCTATCTGTTAAATAACTGGGAATAATTTATGTTATTTTTGAGATGTGCCATAATATTTTTCTAATAAAATATGATTATTTATGGTATAAAATACTTTTGATAAGTCTAAAAAGAAAAAATTTATAATTAATTTAATCAATAAATCAATTAAAAAGTAAATTTTTGATTTTTGAAAAGACGGATAACACCGATAAAAGGTCTATAGTTTGTTAACAAATTTTTATCTACTGTTTCAAATTAGGAAACAATGTCTGTTACTTTCAGTTTATCTTGAACAACGCCTAGTTACAGCGGCTTCAGCGGTTTGATGATAGTATTAAAACTTTTTAAATTTATCCACAGCAATTTATAGCAAAAAAATAAATCAAATTAATCAAATTATTACTCCTAATACTATTATCACTAGGTATTTATTAGGTAATATATATATTTATATATATATATATATATATATATATATATATATATATATATATATATATATATATATATATATATATATATATATATATATATATATATATATATATATATATATATAATGATTGTCATATACGCTTTACTATTTCAGCTTTTTTTTAGGTGCGAGTAGTATTACTTGTCATTGTCTTCACCAAAATAAAGCTATTTTCTGATAAATAATAACGGAGGCCTGGAACCTTATATTTTTAGATTTTTTATTTTTTATAAGTGAATTTGTAGATATTTTGTTGTTCAAAAAATAAAAATTTTTATTGCTTCTTTTTATACTACTTTCACTTTTTTTTTTTTTTGATTTTAAAAAAAAAAAAGCATTTAAATTAATAACACTTTTTTTAAAAAAATTCATAGCAAAAATATATTTATAATAATAATGATAGTACATAATATAATATAAATATTTATACTTATTAAATCATTTAATTTAAAATTTGATTGTTTATATCTATTGTAATCAAATTTTTTAAATCTCTTTTAAAGATCTTTTACTGTAACGTATTATTTATAGTTCATATAATTTATTTTTATCTTTAAGTCTGAGTGTAGCCAGGCAGCGGAAAAGAGGACGTTGCTATGGGACATGGGAGCTGGTTTTTTCTATTTAATACCATTTGGCTGTAAATAAATCCATTGAATCAAGTTTATTTATATTGTCTCAAGATTTTAAAAAAAAAATTCATGTTTTCGTAATAATTATATTATACTTTTATTTATTTTAATTACTTAAATCAACCAAACATTTTTTTAAATTTTTACTCTGGATGTTATTATTCACACGCTTTGGTACAAAGTTAGTTAGGCTCTTTTTTGACGTGGAATCTAGATCTGAAAGCCTTGAATGTAAATCATCATCTAGACTCCATGAATGTTTATGTTTAAGCAGCCATGGCACAGTGCTTAGTTTTTTGGTTCAAAACCAAGAATTCCGTGGTTCGATGCCAGCTCTGGCCAGATAAGCACCATTAATAAGGAAGGAGGTGTGAACTTCCTAGTAAAATTTTCTTCCACGTTGCTATCGACTACCTACTGATGTCATTAATGCTATTTCTGTGGATTCTTTTAAAGCTAAACTTGACATGGATTTTAAATAATGTAACTATGTTGAATAATGATATAGTTGTCTAAGTGTACATGGTACACTCACCGAATTATCGGTCACAGCTCAAATATATTACTAAATATTTTAGTAAAAAATGTTTTATTACTTCTTATACTAATAGAAAAAATTAATTTGGTGAATTCGTTGTAATTCACAGTGATAACAAAGCGCTTTAGGATTCCAGAACTGGAATAGAACGAAAAAGGTTGGAAAATATATTTTACCTATAAGAATATTAATTTGAATATTAATTTGAGTAAAAGAATATTAATATTGAGAATATTAATTTGAGTAAAAGATTCAAAACATAAAAACAACCCGGTTGGAAATGATCTAGCGACTAGCTAGCTTTATAGCGATTTTGTAGCGATTTTTTTTTTCCTATTTTATTTTTTGCTAATATCTTTAAAATCTTAAAAAATTCGATTTTTACTGTTGAGTCTATTATAATTATGAGGATAATTGAATTTTAAACATTGCGATTTTGTAGCAATGTGTCGCTAGCTAAATATCGTAGCTTTATAGCTGGCTACAAAATATCTACAAATCTATAGCTGGCTGATAGCTACATTTCAAAATTTTGTCGACAACGATTTTATTACGATATGACACTAGCTACAATAGCCAGTGGGTCTTTTTCTTATTAAGCTAGCTGTCCTCATAGCCAAATAGCTGTCTTTATCTGTACAAATATCGATAGCTTTGCGCTTATTTTAAAAAGCTAACGATCCTCGTGGCCAAATCGCTGTCTTTATCGTTACGATTATAGCTAGCTATTCGCTAGCCGATTTCCCACCGGGAAAGCAAAAAACTTTTAAATATTACATCTTATACATACATGGATACAGTAACGACAAGTGTTGCAAACGGTAAATCATTCGATATCCTTTACACTGATTTCAAAATAGCTTTTGACAAAGTTTCACATAGGAGATTAGGACTAAAACTTGAAGCATATGGCATTACATCTACGTCATTGAAGTAGTTAAGTTCTTTTTTAACTGATTGGAAGCAAAGAGTTGTACTTGGAGAAAGTGTATCTTCATGGGTGAATATAGTAAGCGGTGTACCACAAGGATCTATACTTGGTCATTTTTAATATAAATCAATCATCTTCCAAGTCAACACACACACAAATTGTTGTTGTACGCAGATGATTGCAAAATAATAGCTGAAGTTAATAATGAAAAGGATGCGCATGCTTAACAAAATGACATTGCTACATTAGAAAAATGGGTAATAAACTTGAAAATGCAACTCAATTTTGAAAAATGTAAATCATGCATATTGGTAAAAAAAATCAAAATTATAAATATTTCATGACTAACAATAATATAAGGCAAGAATTAATTACTACTAATTTGGAAAAAGATCTAGGCGTATTAATTTCAAATGACTTAAAATGGGAACCACAAATCAAAATTGCATTGTCTATTGCAAACTATAAATTTGGTATAATATGCAAATCATTCAAGTATAAAGATAGTGAACTTGTATTATATACCCGGATTTAAAATTTTATATACAGGTATGGCGTTCTCACCTTCAAAAAGATATATATACATTAGAAAATATTCAAAAACGAGTAACAAAATCTGTATCTGAGCTACGTCATCCATCATACAATGGAAGACAAGAAAAAACGATTTTTTTTTTTTTAATTTTGTTATTTAGGTGCTCTGAGAAGACCTAACAGTTTTGTCACAGAGCACCGTGGAAGTGCATTTAATTAGAAAGTTCAGGCCTCTTTCCTTACCGTGACGCGAAAATATGTACAGAGCTCGTTTCGAGCCTCGATCTCTTGCTACTAAAGCAAGAGATCGAGGCAAGCGTTCTAATCACTGCGCTACGGCCGCAAATTGACATCTATAAAACAACGAAGAATACGAGAAGGTTTCGTAAAAATGTACAAATGGTATTATTATAAAGAAAAAATAACTTGGAAAATACAATCAACATTTGTGGTCTTTAAATTTTTCAGGTCCGTCTTCAAATATTCGAGGTAACAGACATCATTTATTCGCCGATAAGAAATATTTAAATCAAAATTCTGAGAGTTTTTTTACAAATCGCACAGTCAAATTCTAAAACAAATTACCAATTGAAACAGTCGAAGTCAAAAATCTCAAGTTATTTAAAGCTAAACGAGTATATTCAACATTCCTGTTTAGTCTGTAAAACATTTAATCTCAACAGTATTGTTTATTATTATTATCTTCCATTAATGTTTTTTCAATTTCTCTTTCGTTAAAGTTTTTTTCAAAATTTGATATTATTTTTTCTTAAATTAAACTAAGATCTAACTAACTAACATCTAATCTATGATTACAAGTTTAACACTCATTAACGCAAACAATTGAATGTAGATTTTTTTAAAGAGTCCTTTTCAAGAAGACCGTATTGCACGGTCTTATTGCAAAGCGCCGCGGTATTGCATATAACTAGCAAGTTCAGGCCTTCTTCCTTACCATAATTTTACCACACATGATATCTGTCAAAAAAAATTGCATATCATGTCGAAAATAATTACCAAAAATCATTAACTTCAATAAAGTAGCCCATCTGACTCTTCATTTTCTAGTAAATGTGAAGAAGTAAAACCTGAAAGTATGGTAGATCTTAACTTGTCACTTGCAACTTAAGGTATTCCATCAATTAGGTATATTAGAAAATTAGAAAGAGTCCGGCATTTAGGGAAAAAAGTTTTTGCCGCAAACGCACGTATTTTTGACTGCTCTTTAAAAATATTAATTAAAAAACGGAAAAAACAATCAAAAATATTAAAAAAATTATTACAAACAAGTTTGAAGAACAAAAAAGAACTTTGCTTAAAGAAACAGAAAGATTATTAAAAGACCTAGAAAGGAACTTCACACAAATAGTGAGTGGAAATATAAAAATTATTACTGATAGACTCGACAAAATAGAAAATGAATTAAATATGAACAGAATAAATATGCGAAATATTGAAAAAGACTTAAACGATGTGAAAGAAAGTCTCAACTTTCAAAAAGAAAAAATAAAGGAAGAATTAACACAAATAAGGAATTAGAGTCAACGGTCTGAAAGATTCACCAGAAGAAAGTTGGAGCGATTGTGAGAAATCTGTGAAAAAAATATTTACAAACTTATTTATATAAAATATTTTACTTAATAACTGTTAGGATCCAGATTTGCATTTTTTTAATGAAAATAATTTTAACTCGCGGTTTTTTGAATTAGGAATCTTTAAAAATGAATTAAAATCATTAAATAATAACTTTACGGTGATAAACATAAATATAAGAAGTATAATTAACAATATTGACAAACTAAAACATTTTCTTATAGAATGTAATTATTTGTTCAGTATTATTTGCTTAACAGAAATTTGGTGTTCTGACGAATCACCCAGAATAAGTTCAAACTTATTAATTCCAAACTACAAACTATTATCTTATAAGCTAAAAGTTAAAAAACAAGGTGGTGGAATTATGACAAATATTCATAATGATCTTACAACTAAAATTAGAGACGATCTTTCGGTTTCTGATGCCGATAGTGAGGTCTTTACAATTGAAATTATAAACAAAAAATTAAAAAATATACTAGTGCCCACCTGTTATAGACCACCTGAAGGTGATATAAAAAACTTTTCAAATCACCTAAAACAAATATTTCTAAAAAAAAATAAGAACACAAAATATTATTCTGTATTGGTGACATAAATATAAATTGTCTACAGTACAATGAAGATGCTGTTTCCAAAACTTTTTTTGACGATATGTTTCAACATTACATCTTTCTTATAATAAACAAACCAACCCGGGTAACATTAAATTCAATGGCTGCAATTGACAAAATATTGACTAATTCATTTTATGATTCTTCATTAAAAGCAGGTGTAATCAAAACGAATATACCCGATCACTTTCCGATATACTTTTCCTTTTTTCAAGATACAAAAAATAATAACTCTAAAATTAAAGTCTATAAACGAAAAATTAATAATCTTACTACTCAACAGTTTAAAGACTCACTATCGGCAGTGAGGTGGGACAGGATTTACCAAGAATGCAACCTTGGGCATACCAACTCCGCTTATAACAAAATTATAGAAATATTCTTAAAGCACTATGATAATCCCTTCCCTATAATAAAACAAGAATTAAAAATAAAATATT